CTTTTCAAAGTGCCAAACTTAATAAAAAAGAAAAAAATAATTAAGCTAAAATTGTGGTAAAATCAATAGGCCATTACTTTTTATGTACATGAATATTTTCGCAAACAAAAAAAAAAAAAAAATAACCAGACATTTAAAAAATTGTTACATGCATTAAGAAAAAATAAATATAGATAATTTGTGAAAAAATGTATAAAGTTCATATAGTTTTGTGTTAAAAGTTAACTACTGCTCTTTAAACAGTTAAATTCGTGTGTTTAGTTTAATTTCTTTTGACTTTTTTTTTATTTGTGTGTTCGTCATCTTTGTTGTGCTGTCCACTTAGAAAATATACATACATTCATACATACCGTCATCCATACAAACATACATACATACATATTTATGTTATTGCTATGTTATTTTTTGTTTCGTCGTGACGTTGACTGCGTTATTTGACATACTATTTTTTTGTGTGTAATAAAAGCAGCGAACGTAACTAGTGTGAAAGAATGAGCAAAAACAAAAGCAATCACAACTGAATTTTAAATATTTTATTTGGTTTTCTTTTTTTTTTTTTGAATTTTCACAATATTTTATTTTAGTTTGGGATGCCGGTAAAACACAAAATGAATACAAGCTAATTTACATACATGTTAATATTTTTGTAAAGTATAAAATGTAATATTTATATAATGTATTGAAACTATTGGTTTTTCTCTTTTTTTCTGAATTATGTTTTGTTTTTTGTGTTGTATTTTGTTCTGCCAGAGATGTATAATCTAACTACATACTATGGATGATCGGAAAATCAGATTCTGTTTGGCATTTAAACGTGTATTTACAAATCTACAGACGATTTTAAGTTTTAATAATAATATCGATTGTTTAGTGAAATGGTTGATTAAAAAATAAGCTTTTTTTTAAACGTATTCTAAAGATGTCGATTTTAAGTATCGATATCGATATTTACAAAAAGTATTGATTTTGCTCAAATGGGGCTTATACATAGGTATCTCGTTTATTCATTGATTATTCTTAGTTATTTTTGAATCATCTACCGTAGTTTAAAGTTTTAATTAAAATTAAAATTGGTACAAGGAATATATCTATTAGCACTTAGCTAAAGCAAAATTATCATCCATATTATTTTGTCCAACACTGTATATAGTATATATATATATGCAATTGATTTTTTTATTAAGAATTATCTCATTATTTTTTCTATAGTCGACTGCGGACATTATTATAGTCTAGACTATAAATTGTATCATAGTCAAGCCTTTTTTAGCCTGTAGACTCTAGTGGAAACTTTAATCAAGGAGATTATAGCCAGGCAGTCAATACTAAGGCAGAACTTTAGACTTCTTTCGGCTCTGTAGCGAAGTCTCGGGATTATGGTGTGTTCAAAAGACTATACAGAGCGCTATAGTAAAGACTATAGTCTGGACAATAGACTATAGTTAACACTTGAGACAATACTATAGTATATAGACAGCATTAGATTCAAGGCAATTAGCAGTAGTACTAACAGGTCAGGGTATTCAGTACTATAGTGAAGACAAGGGCTTTAGCCAGGAAAATAAAGGCTTTATTTTGCACTATAATTAACACTATAGACAGAGCTATAGTTTGGGATATAACTATAGTTACTACCAAAGACAAAACTATAGTCTGGAATATAATCAGTCCTATAGCCAGTACTAAATGAAGACTATAGTTAGAAGAATAGCTAGGAATTTAGTCGGCTCTATAGCCAAGACTGTGAGATGATGATTATATAGAGGTCTATAAACAAGACTGCACTATAGTAAAGATACAATTTTTGGCATTTTCCAACAATTTCTCATACCACCCTCGCAACAACTTGACATCAACAGAAAAGCACAAGCAAAATATACAATTCCTTTACATTAATTTAACATTTAAACTTTGTATGCATGTATGTATGTATGTATGTTCCCTGTGTAACATGAATTGGTTTTTGTTAAAAGAAATAAAATAAATCACTTGATTCAATTGAAAGTAACAACTAACTAACGTCCACAACCAATTTCTCATTTCATTCTTCGTTTTGTAAATTTCTTTGTTACTTATGGATGTGATGATTTCTACAGCGTAAATATTATTGTTGTATTTGTTGTTTGTGCCATTCATGCAGCAAGTGATAAGAAAATTTTAAATAAAATAAAATTCTGTTATAGAGATTTGGTTGGCTTTTTTTATAAATACTTACATATACACAAATGTACATAATCGTACATTTTGTTTTTTTTTAATTCATTAAAAAAATAATGATAAAAATGAAATGAAACAAAAATAAAGCATAAACAAGCATCAGTTCAGTTTAAAACAACGCCTCTAGGTCAAATAGAATTTAAAATAATTATTTTTAATTGTAATTTCTAAATAAAACATTTTATACAACTGCATTTTTTCTTGAAATAGTAAAATGTATTTATTTTTTTCTTTTTTGTTTAATCAACAGGTCATCTTTAAACTAAAACGCTATCTTATCTCGTGTTGAAAAGACAACAACGCCACCACCTCCATCACCACCTCGTTTGTGCAGGTCTAACGACAAAGACCACAACTCTCTATATAATTTAAAATAATAATAATAAAAAAACCATTGAATACCAGTGATTAATATTAATCTATACTGGTGTTTTGCCGGTTTGGAAAGAAAAAATAAAAGACACACACACACACATACTCACACAAACATACATTTGCTAAGCAAAAGTTTGTGTAAATAATACTAAAACAACAACTTGTTGCTTTTATTATATTTGTTCTATTGGTGATACTTGCTGTCATTACTTTACTAAAGCTGCTGCTGTTGCTGACTATTTGCTGCTGCTCGTCCGTCGCAAACATTGATTGCAACAATAATATTTTAATTTGTTTGATTATTAAACGTCTTCGTATTGTGTCTCTTCTTGCTAGTAGTGGAAGTTTATCTTCTTGTGTGTGACTAATTTAAATCATTTAAACTCTCCCCTAAACAAGGAGAGTTTAAACGAATACAATAAATAATAAAAAAGAAAAAATACGAAAAAATCTCTACAAGCAATAACGATTTGATCTTTTTGTTAATTTTTTTTCTTCTTAAGCGGTTTTTTGTTAAATCTTAAAAATTAATAAACTAACAACAATGGCACCTGTTAGGGGAGATGGTATGCGTGGTCTGGCAGTTTTTATATCGGACATAAGAAACTGTGAGTAGATTTTTAAAAAAAAAGTTACTATTATTTTTTTTATTTTTGAATTTAAGTTATTAATAGCAGTTCATTTTCTCATAATGAATATGGCTACGCCCTATACCCTACTTTAAGGTGTGTGTTGCATGCCAATGATCACATAATTATTAAGAAGTACTTCAGTAGATCATTATGAAATTTAGTTAGAATTTTCGAACATAAATTAAAAACTTTGAAAATTCATTGAAATTGTATTTTTTTAAATACAATTTTTTTTATATATATATATATATATAAAAATTTGCCCTAAAATAAAAAGTTAAATCTGAAGAAATACACCTAGGTCTCTACCGGGACTGTTGTACGATCCTTTATCAGTGCTTCAGGTGGTAATCGAACCCACGACCCACGATAGATAGATAGATAGATAGACAGATAGATAGATAGATAGATAGATAGATAGATAGATGTAGATAGATGATAGATAGATAGATAGATAGATAGATAGTCGTCGATAGATAGATAGATAGCTCGATAGATCGATAGCTCGCTCTCTCGCTAGATAGCTCGCTCGCTCGCTCGCTCGCTCGCTCGCTCGCTCGCTCGCTAGCTCGCTCGCTCGCTGCTCGCTAGCTAGCTCGCTCGCTCGCTAGCTCGCTCGCTCGCTCGCTCTCTCGCTCGCTTCGCTCGCTCGCTCGCTCGCTCTCGCTCGCTCTCGCTCGCTCGCTCGCTCGCTCGCTCGCTCGCTCGCTCGCTCGCTCGCTCGCTCGCTGCTCGCTCGCTCGCTCGCTCGCTCGCTCGCTCGCTCGCTCGCTCTCTCCTCGCTCGCTCGCTCGCTCGCTCGCTCGCTCGCTCGCTCGCTCGCTCGCTCGCTCTCTCGCTCGCTCGCTCGCTCGCTCGCTCTCGCTCGCTCGCTCGCTGATAGCTAGATAGATAGCTCGCTCGCTCGATAGATAGATAGAAAGATATGTAGTTTATTTGTTGCATTAAACTCTGGTGGGAACCGCTTCAGCTCTGGCAGACTAGAACACTGCCACAGTTCTAGAAGACTAAAACACTAACTAATAACCAACCGGAGGCAAACTGTTCAGTCCAATAAGTCCTAAAAAATCAAGAAATTCACTTCCTTATCTATATGACTTCTTAAAGGTCAAAGTTCACAACAAATATATTTCCTGCATACATTCTACTACAAAGCTTTAATATTTAACTGGTAAAACACTCTTATTATTCCTGTATTTAGGTTAAGGCCAACATTATTTTTAGTTTACCACCTTTTCCTTTCTCTGCTTAAGTAATTATTTTCCCCTATTTCTCCATAAACATATTCAAACATTTCAAATATTGAAAAACGTTAAAACTAAAAATAGACAACTCTTCAATAATGTGTAAACAGATGCCTTCGCATTAAATGTTAAATCGTCTATAAAATTTTTAATTTATTTATTTATTTTATTTATTTATTTATTTATTTATTCAGTAATATAAAGCCACTTTGGCCAAAATAACAATATTACATAGTAAAATATACGCCTTAAAAATATTATAAAGGTTGATATATGCTTAATATATATTTATTAATTTGTTACATATATTTATTCATTCAGGCTCCCCAGCCAGTAAGATTAAAAATATAAACAAATACACATAAGGTCCCTTTCAGAAGCAATTAATGATTAATACTATTTAATAAATGTAAAAAAATAAAAATATTTATACAATTTATAAGAGTCATAAAATAGCTTTTAACTATATAATTAACAATGTATAAATGTATAATTAATGGGTAAGCAAAGGTATTGATACTATCGTTTTTATGTGGTAAATAAAATAAAACACAAGTACATATAACTCAAGTAAGTATATTGGGATTGCTCCATTACACATCAGATATGCAGGTCTCAGTCTGAACAACAAGGACGTTATCCTGTACTAAAAAAAAATTGTCATTTTTACATTTATTTTAAAAAGAAAACCAACATGAGAGCATATAAAAACTTTCCAGGGTAAATTCAAGCAATATTTCCTAGTAAGTAGAGAGAAAATTGTTAAAGAAAACGAGAAAAAAAAATATATATATATGTATATATATGCATATGTATATATAGTAGGGAAATAAATGAAAATTAAAAAGAGAAATAAAATGGTATGATAATATTTAAAATTATTTTAATTAATAATAATGTTGACAAATATATATATATAGTATAAATCAATAAAATAACTAAAATAATTATCAATACCAAAGAAATATAAAACATATACATCATTTCATTTACCCCAGTGAATAACAAATTTCAGCAGATCATTTCAATTTTCATATCAATAGAAGCTTTTGTCAGAGTCATATGTCATTAGTTACTATTTTAAATATTACGAATAAAATTATAATTGACAGATCAACACAGTTCAGGAAGTAGTGCCAGAGAAGTACTGCATGAGTTTTAAACGAAATACATTATTGGAATGAGAAAAAATACGCAACGAGTAAGGTAGAACATTCCACAACCGCGCAATACGGACCAAAAACGACCTTCCCAAAACAGATGAAGATATTCTCGGCATACAGATTTGCGGATTTCTTGTGGATCGAGAGAACCGAAAGGATCTACGTAGAGAAATAGGCAAATTAAACTTAACAAGTTTATAAAAAAGCAATAAACTCTTAAACTTTACAAAATTAACAAAATTCATACCTAGGAAAAGATTTACAAAGGAAGAAATATGCTCATAACGTTTAATATTATATACAAAACGAACTATCATATTAGATACTCGGTTTATCCTCCTAAATAGGGTGGCAAATGTACCAGCATAAACTTCAATGCAGTATAAAATTTGTGAAAACAATAGAGAATGAGCCAAATTATATCTCACACGCAAAGGTAAGTATAAATTCATCGAGTATATCTTACGCAAAATACCAAAAACTTTGCAGAACAAATTGTCAATATGATTCTCGAAAGAAAGGCGGCTATCCAAAATCACTCCTAAACATCTTATATTCTCGACCAAAACTATGCGAGTATTCCCTAAAGTGATCTCCATATTGGGAAAAAAACGACTTGAAGGTCCAAACAAGGCGGCCTTTGTTTTAGACGGGTTAACAACCAATGAATTGTTCATAGTCCAATCAGCAACACGCTGTAGATTATAGTTAATATTCTCACGCAATACATCGCTAAATTCAATATTGTTATTAAAAAGTAAAAAAACGTCATCAGCAAAAATAAAGGTTTTACACATAGTAGAGTCAACACTACGTGGGAGGTCATTAATATACAAAATAAACAAGAGAGGCCCCAAAACCGAGCCTTGAGGAACTCCAGAAAAAAGAAGGCGTAAAGAAGAAGTAAGACCATTATATTGAACAAATTGAGATCTACCTCTGAGATATGATAGTATAAGTTTACATGCCGAGGAAGAGAAGTTAAACTCATCCCTAAGTTTATTTATTAATGTAACAAAACAGATTGAATTGAAGGCTTTAGAGAGATCAAGGGAAACTAGTACACTTAAATTCTCATCATTAATATTTCTCCTAATATGATCAGTAAGATTGAGTAGCAACAGAGATGTGCTATAACCTTTACGAAACGCGTATTGATCATCATATAACATAGATAACGTGGATGCAACAATCTGTTCCTTAATAATGTGTTCAAATACCTTCGATAACGATGGCAGAATAGAGATGGGCCTTAAATCGTCCAAACCGTGAATTACCTTCGTCTTCGGGATTGGAACAACTCGAGCAATTTTCCAACAAGATGGAAAAACAGATGTGGTTAGAATTTGGTTAAATAGATCAAGAATATAACTAGATACATGGGGAAAGATCAACTTGATAACTTTAATAGGAATATTGTCGATACCAATGGACTGCGATTTCACTCTTCCTAAAGCCTCAAACACCTCAAGTTCATCCACACAACTAAACGAAAACGAATTAGTATCATTCCAACTAAAATTAATGTTAAACTCTTCAGGAATATCACCGTTACCTATACCAACAAAATAATCATTAATTAGATTCACATCACCATCAAAAATTGCACAATCATCCTGAACACCAGCACCTTTAAGAATACGCCACATCCCCCTAGTATCTAGTCCAGAGAAAAGCTTTGAAAAATATTTCCTTTTCATTTTTCGCACAATATTCTTGGCTCTGTTACGATACTTACAGTAGATTTTCCAATTAGTCGCAGAACGGGAGGACTTATAAGAACAATAAGCAAGTCTACTGAGAGATTTAGCATAGGCAATATCCTTACAATCATACCAACTATTATTATCTTTATTACTAATTCTCTTCCTAACAATAGGTACAAATGTCATAACAGATTCAAAGAGAGAAGAAAGGCGAGAACATTTATCGTCTACAGATTCAGCAAAATAGCTAGAATTACTGAAATCTGACAAAAGAGATAGAATACCTTCCCAATCAATAGAATTAAAGTCTCTATACTCAATATACTGCTCAGATCGCCGATCCACAGAAATCTTAAATGAAGCAAAAATAAGAGCATGGTGCGAAATTAGCTCACATTGTAACTGGTCAGAAAAACTCATCATCGAAGGATTACTCACTAACCAGAAATCAATCAGAGACGTAGATCCATGTGCTACATCAAAATGCGATGGTTTAGAATTATGAAGAACTGACAAATTATTCCTTAAACAAAGTGCTCGAAAATGCATCGACTTGCTAACATCAAACATATTGCAATTAAAATCCCCAACGACAATAACATTGACATATTTTAAGAATAACCCACAATGAAAGTTTTCAAAGGAAAGTATGTCACCCGTAGGTAAATAAACAACACCAAATAATATTTTAGAGCCATTGTAGTCCATTTCTATAAAAAGGGATTCACAAAGTCCCAATTCAGAGATCTGAAATACTACTTTATACTTCAATCTTTTAGATATAAAAATCGCTACACCGCCTCCTCTCGAATTAAGTCGATCATTACGAATGAGCGTGTACCCAGATATTCCTACGGCCGTAGAGGAAATAAAAGGTTTTAACCAAGTCTCAGTTATAGCAAACATATCAAATAATGAATCATATAAAATGTACTTCAATTCATCAATCTTAGAGTAACTAGATGAGGGTCTAATACTCTGACAGTTAAGATGGCCAATGTTCAATTCCTGATCATGAGAACTAAGAGCAGAGTTAATATACAATTTGCTACTGAAAGCTGGACCAATATTGGTATCAAGTGACACTGGTTAACAAGATTATGGGGAACCAAGAAAAGTTACAATTAATAAAGGACATATAAAAGCATATAATCAAAAATACAAATACAAAAAAATTCATTTCAATCTAAAATACTGCTGATCAAAGGTGTTAAAAATACAATAATATAAACAGTAATACAATTGAGATCAAAAGTGTTCAAAGTTAATAAAGTATAAAAGAAGAAAAATACAAAACTAAATATATAGCAACCATGAGAAAGGCATATAAAAATATCTGTATGTTATTAAGGGAGATAAAGAACAGTATAATATTGAAAAGAACAGCAGATATTTTCAAGATTCTAATCAAAAACAAAATTACTTTATCTTAGTTGCCACATAAATATAACTACAAGTAAAAATTCAATTTCAAATAATACTATACGTATAGCAAAATCAAGGTCAGCACATCTCATAAGCAAAATATACATAATATAAATTACTGCACATAGTAAATATACACATTTACATATATATATATATACATATATACATACATACACATATATATATATATATATATATTCACATATATACATATACATACATACATACATACACATATATATATACATACATACGTACACACATACATACATATATATACACATATACATACATATATACATACATATACATGCACACATACATATACATACATACACACATGTATATATATTTACTACCACATACTAAACAATAATTTATATTAGTATTTGCCCTAGAAAAGTACAACCTTAAGCTAAGTATATAATAATAAGATTAATAAAGAGAAATATTGTAACAAAAAGAAATACCCAAAATTTATTCATTAAGTAATGCAGCACATTCAACGGAGTCGCAAACCACGTTCTTTCCATCAGCCATGGTCAGCTTAGCACGTAACTTATCACCATTAAGCATCTTAAATTTAATAATTATGCCCTTACGGAGAAGCTTCTTACATACAATATTTAACCGGCCAGCAGCTGGGGAATGGTGATCATTTAAATATATACGTGATTCAATTTCACCTCCAATAACATCGCAGACTCTTAAGGTTCTGGTTTTGAAATACTCCGCCATTAACTGGTCACGCAAAAAAACATTATTGAATTTTACTAAAATAGCTTTTTGATTCTTAAAGTAAAAGGCATGATTAATGTCGACGCGAGAGATAGGGATATTATAGACAGATCCTATTTTAATGATAGGATCCACTAGGTCACCCAGACCTGCTGGCAAACCAATAATAATGACGTCAGCACGATTGAGTCTCTTGTATAAGACATTATTTTCATCCTCTAAAGTATTAATTCTTTTAGTAGTCGACGTGTCAATAAAACCAATAAGTTTATTACAATTAAGTATTTCAGCCTTCATATCCTTAAAGCAAGTTGTCATTTCTGTTCGAAAGCCGGCGACAGTATCCATTAGAGATTGTTGAATAGATCTTTGATCATTGCCCACTTTATCAATAAATAAATCAAGTTTAGAGCTAATGGCACAAACCTCTTCGCGTATTTTATCCATACCAGAATTTGGGTTTTTGTCACATTTGGAACAAGTAAAAGATAAAGACTTACTGTCTTTTAATAAAGTGAGTGCTTTTTCTTGAAGATCTGTACAGCTAACATGTATCCACAGTGAACAATTTTTGCATAGGACACTGGCTCGATTCTTGGCAATATCTTCCAGACAAACACCACATTTGTAAGTTTTAGCAAGCGGCATCTTAAAAATGGTTGGTAGCAAACAAATTCAAAAGTGCACTAAATAGCCCGTAAAATACATTAACAGCAGACAGGAGCACGTTGATAATTCACAACCAGTAAGCAAAACTTCAATATTAATAATAATAATGCACCAATAGGAGGATAGCAGCAACAGCAAGAACAGCTTTACTTAACAGCAGCAATAGTACACAATGAACTCCAGTGAAAGTATTTTAACAATTCCTGTAGGATGACAGCAGCAGCAAATCCACACTAACACCATAAGCAGAACACCACTCACAATAAGTATGGCAGCAAGTGACACAATGTGTAGCAGCAAACAGCACCCTTATATATGTAGAATCACCAGCAGGAAAACAGTAGGAGCAATCATCCACCAAGGTAGCACAGCACTCACAGACCACAAATATGGCGGCAGGTGCACTACTCCAACAGCCGCAGAAACACCATCACACGTAACACACAAAAATGGCGGCAAGTAAAACAGCAAGAATCAATGAAAAGGGTTCAACTGCAAGAAGATAGCAGCAGCAAACCTCTACCAGCAACAAGACACACTCCACTTAACCACAAATCATAAAGTTCCAATAGACTGCAGTGGTATTTATTAAAAAATAAATATGTACAAATTTAAAAAAAGTTCAGGAACAAAAATGGCGGAATGCAGCACACAAAATTTGCAAAGGCAAATAGCACGTTTTTATAATTTTTCAGCAAATAATTTATCCAAAAGAATCTTTATATATTAATTGAAACAGGAGATAATATATTCCAAATTTAATTAGTTCAAGTAAAAAAAACACTTTTTAATAAAAGTAATTATTATTTTTTCCACAAAAGATCAGCCGTACAAAAAAATTTCAACTATTCAGGCATAGAGTTACCAGATTTTTGCATTTAAAATTATTATTTAAAAAATTTGGCTCAGAAGCGGTTATAAACAAAACGTGATTAAAGCTAATATCAAAAGTAAATGCATAATTATTGTAAGAATTTTGTTTTTGTTAAAAACCCTACAAATACTTTGAAAATAAAGAATTAACAAAAAAAAAAAAAAAAAAAAAATTATCAGCAATAACGACAATTTGTTAATTTTGTTTTTGTGTTAAAAAATAGAGGTTTATTTGAAAAATTTAAGTTTACTTGCAAAACCCGTTTGATTTAACATACATTTTGTAAGGCATTAGGTTAGATTTAGAGTTATTTTTTTTTCTTATAGAAAATTTTATAAAAATTCTAACTATTCTAAACAAAGTTTTGAAATGCTTTGAGGATATAATTTAAAATAATAATATAGATGTTACTGAGAGTTTCTACAGTTTCATCAATGTCTGTTTAACTTTATCGTAGCTATATAGAATTGAACAGTGAAAGCATTCTTATTTAAGCTACTTTCTAGCTGTTATTCTGTTAGTTTAATAAAACTTTTAAAACTTATTTTATTTGTATTATGATTTTAACAAATCAACATTTGTAATAAACTCCCACATTTAAGAAATATGTACTACATATTTATTAAAATGTCAATATCTCTCTGCTCAATGTTCATAGTATGTATTCAGCTATTTAGTGTCATCATAATTGAATTAAAACATTTATTAAATAATAGGGGCGTCAAATTTTTGTTATTTTACAAAAATATGTACGTGTCTATAACATTCAAATACTATTTATTCATCTTCCCTTTCACACCAATCTATTTTTTCTTGTTTTGTTTATGAGCTGCATTTTTGTGGCACAAAAAATAAAAAAAAAAATCATTATAATATTATTATTGTTGGCGCTAGAACATTCAATTATGATAATTTAATAGTGGAATATACACAGCAAGTAGTTAGATTTGAAAACTATATAAAATCTCTACATGTAACTGGTACTTTATGGTTCAACGAGTAATGTTTTTAAATATATTTATGTTTATTAACTATAGTGACAAATTGATGAGATCTTTATACAATTTATATTAATTTTTTTTTATTGTATTTGTTTAATTTTACTAAATGTAGCTCATGATTGTGATCATTGACCTTTACATGCGAAACAATTTTGATATTTTTAAAACGAGTTAAATTGATAAGCCGAAATATTTTAATAAATTCTGTGCATTCTTTTACAAAAATGCTTTTTTAATAAAAAATTTTTATTATCACAATTCAGTAATTAAATTAATAAAATATTCCTGCAAAAACAAACTGAAAAAGTTTTTTGACAAAAACAAATATTTTCTCCTTTTGCAAAGAATTTATAGCGTAAAATAGATAAAAGTCATGTTGTCAAAAACTCAACAAATAATAATGTATAATTATACTGTAATTCCCGTGTCCGTACATGAAAGCTTAAAAGCTCCATTTTATTATTAAGAGCATAAATATCTTAACTCTACTTGCCCAACTTTTAATCTTAAAAAAGTAAAATATTAAGCTGGAAAAACTTTCAAAATTTAAGTACGAATTTTTTAATATATCTTAGAAAGCTTATAAAATAATTAAAAATTTATGAAAATTTAAATATTTTTAAGAAATCTTCTGTAAACTAAAGATATAAGCATTTTTACGAATCCTCATGATGTAAAAATTGTTTTAATAATGTCCACAAATGTTTGAAAATAAGTTTGGAAACAATTTTTTTTAATATATTTTTATGAAAAATTTTATGTTACAAAAACTTTTATGCTAAAAACCCTTTTTTAGGTTTATAAAAAGCTTTTTACATACATTTTTTATACTTTTTATAAAAAATATATTAAAATATATAAGCTTTTTACGTACATTTTTTATACTTTTTATAAAAAATATATTTTGAAAAAGCTTTTTACCAAATGTAATAGTTTTCAAAACTATTAAAAGCTTAAAAAAATATCAAGAAAAGTTTTTTGTTTTCTTACAGTTATTTTAATGAAAATCTTTTTTTTGTTTATTTTTAGAAAAATTGTCTGTGCAAAAGCTTTTTTTCATATTCATTTCTTAAGAAACCAATTTTTTTTATAAAAAGCTTTTCTATATATAGTTTTTTTTGAATAATTTTTTTCTTTAAAAGAATTTTATAAAAAAAAACTTTTTTGAAATTTAAACTTTTAAAAAAGATTATTTACAAAAATCATCATTAAAAACAAATTTCTATCAAAAAGCTTTTTACAAAAAAAAAAAAAATAATAATAATAAAAAGCTTTTTTTTAGAAAAATTCTTTAAAAAAGCTGTTTTGCAAAAAAAAAAAATCAACAGCAAAAACTTATTTTTTCGAAAAGTTTCGTAAATTTTAGAAACAAAAAAATTCTTCATAAAAAGCTGTTTTTACAAAAATTCTTTTAAAAAAATCTTAAATAGCTTTTTAATTTAAAGAATTATTAAAAGATTTTTATATAAAAACTTTTTTGAAAGATTCCTTGAAAACCAATATCGATTAGAAAGCTTTTTAAAAAAAGTTTATTTAGAAAAATCATCATTAAAACAAAATTTCTAGCAAAAAGCTTTTTACAAAAAAAAAAAAAAAAAAATTATTATAAAAATCTTTTTTAGAAAAAGCTTTTTTACCAAAAAAATCAACAGCAAAAACTTTTTTATTTCGAAAAGTTTCGTAATTTTTAGAGACAAAAAATCTCTTCATAAAAAGCTCTTTTACAAAAACTCTTTTAAAAAGATCTTAAAAAGGAGTTTTCTATAGAAAGATTTTTATAAATAGCTTTTTTATTTAAAGAATTATTAAAAGATTTTTATATAAAAAGCTTTTTTTGAGAGATTTGTTATAAAAAACTTGCGATCAGAAAGCTTTTTATAATTTTTTTTACAAAAAATAATTATAAAAATATTTTTTAGAAAAACATTCTTTAAATTCAACAAAAATGTTTACAAAAATAAATTTTTAAGTTTTTTATTTTTCTTAAAAAATATTTTACAAAAATTCATATACAAAATCTTAATGAAAGAGTTTTCTGTAGAAAGCTTTTTAACATAAAAATTTTTATAAATAGCTTTTTTATTAAAAGAATTGTTAAATTATTATAAAATATTTCAAAAATAAGTATAAAAAGCCTTTTTAGAAAATAATTATAAGAAATTTTTAAAAAAAAATCTTTAAAAGCTTTTTTAAAAAAAAAAAAAATTTCAACAAATTAGTCTTAACATTTTTATGTAAAAAACTTTATTTTAAAAATAAGTTTTTTCCTTCAAAAAGCTTATGTCGTAATTTTTAGAAACAAGAAAATCTCTTCATAAAAAACTTTTTTTACAAAAACTCTTTTTTTTCTACTTCTTTAAACAACAATTTTTAACAAAAAGATTTTTACAAAATGCTATTTACAAAAAATAGTTGTAAAAAGCTCTTTTTAAAAAAATGCCTTAAAAGTTTTTTAGATTTTTATGTAAAAAACTTTTTACAAAAATATTAAAATAATATTTAAATTATTTTTAAAATATTTTAAAAATAAGTATAAAAAGCCTTTTTAGAAAATAATTATAAGAGCTTTTTAGAAAAAATTCTTTAAAAGCTTTTTTGAAAAAAAAATTCAACAAAATGTAAAAAAACTTTTTTTAAAAATATTTTTTTTTTAAGTTTTTTCCTTCAAAAAGCTTATGTCGTAATTTTTAGAAACAAGAAAATCTCTTCACAAAAAGCTTTTTTTTTACAAAAACTCTTATAAAAAATCTTAAAAAACAGCTTTTTAACATAAACAAATAGCTTTTTAAGTTAAAGAATTTTTAAAAGATATTTATGTATATAAAAAGCTTTTTTTAAACGATTTTTTTTTTCTTTAAAAAACAATTTTTAACAAAAAGCTTTTTACAAAATGCTATTTTAAAAAAATAGTTGTAAAAAGCTCTTTTTAAAAAAATGCCTTAAAAGTTTTTTAGATTTTTATGTAAAAAACTTTTTACAAAAATAACTTTTTTAAAGTTTTCCACCAAAAGCTTATTAAAGTTCATGAATTTTAGAAATAAGAAAATTACTTCATAAAAAGCTTTTTTACAAAAATTCTTACAAAGAGCTTTTTTTTTAAATAAATCTCTTTTTAAGGCTTAAAAAAGCTTTTTTGCCAAAAAAGGTTATTTTTGGACAAAATATGGCAAAAAAGCGTTTAAAAAAAAAAAACAGTAAGTTCCTCCCATTAAACCATTAGTAATGTTCAGGTTTTGAAACTCTTAAGTTTCATCAATTATATAAACTATTACTTGTGTTCATATTTGTCATGTTTTCTCTTATATAATGCTTTATTTCCTATTATTTTTTTCTATCTTAATAGCCTTAATCTAATCATTTTCCTCTTTATGTTATATTTTCCAAAAGGTAAAAGTAAAGAAGCGGAAGTTAAACGTATTAATAAAGAATTGGCCAATATACGCAGTAAATTTAAAGGTGACAAAACGCTAGATGGTTATCAGAAAAAGAAATATGTGTGTAAACTGCTATTCATATTTCTACTGGGTCATGATATTGATTTCGGTCAT